GATGCGATGAGGTCGAGCGACGTGGGAGGGTGCCAAGCGACAAGCTGACAGCCAAGGCAATGGGGGATGGAGACGGTGTCGTGTCGTCAAATCGTTAACTCCAATCGAATAGTTAAGTGGTTAGGTAAAGTAATCGCTGTAAGCTTGCCCCGTCCTCCGTAGGATAAGTGTCTGTGAATCCAGTCCTTCTATGGCTGGGGTTCGGTTGAGTGCCGTGGTGACCGGATTGCACATGCACAGCCTCCTTTTACCATGCGCAAGCTTTCTATTAGACGACTCGATTGGAGACCGTGCGGAGGGACGTTGGACGAGGCTCAAAAGACTGGGCTGTGGCCAGCTTTCAGTCTTTGATTGGCTAAATCGACTCCTGTCAAAGGTCTTTGAACTGTTTGGAGACTCTGCCTGCCTTAGCTAGAGCAGATGGGGCGAGTCGATAAAAGCCAATGGATCCTCCCTCTTTTGTCTTTTAAAGGTATGTAGTGGTTAGGAAAGGTGTTAGGTAGAGACTAGAGGAAAAGAAAGATTTTGAAATATGACAAAGCGGGTTACTATTGAGAGCTCCAACTTGGGCTGGTGCTGTCAGATCCAGCTAGAGTTAGTGGATGTTCACAGTGCTAAAGAAATGACACTCAGGGGAACTACCTATACTTAGGAGTCTCCCATAGAAGAACCCTGCCAGTATGATAAAAAAGATCAGCAACTCTCCATACCTAGTAATTCGGCTCGCTAGCGATTCAACGTTGAAAGGATGTTTGTTCTGTCCACAGACAGCTACTTCTCGCATTCTGTCTTTGGCGCGCAAGGGTCCTTCGGCTGGCAAACGCCTCTTCGCAAGTGCTACTCCACGTCTGCTTATGAGCTCTAGTTCGTCGTATTGTTTCTATTCATGGCTACTGGGGACGGAGTAGGTATGCTGTCAGCATCAACAGGCAAGAAACGAGCCACGATCCATTAATATGCCGCCCACATGCCGGGTCCGCAGTTACAGAGGAGACTGCCAGACTGCATAGGTAGGCATTTCAGACTAATAAGAGCGCATCCTCTAATAGATATTCACAAGGACCACCATTGGACAGTACATTCTCTAGCCATTAGTTTCATGCCAGGATACCAGTACATTCACAGAGAACGCATCTACCAAGCCCCTTTACGTCGTCACCTCGACGGATCCAGTAAGTGTATAGTATCATGTCCCACTTTCTTCAAGGCCCACGCTAGCCACGGTTGCTCATTCGTTTCAATGTGAGGCTGGGTGCTAACTATCGTCTCTCCCTACATACAGAGTATCTATGTGTTCTTACATCCATGGCTATATCTCATTTACTTGTTTTATATCAACTGGAGATGTTTGATACAAAGCCATTGTGCCAGTGAAAACCTCAAGAGGGTACATATGGCCCCTCAGTACTGACCTTTACCTACCTTACCTTACCTTACCTAGGTAGGTAGTTGAGGCAAGGTTCCTAAGTCAGTTCTTCCACTGAAGCTACAGTACCTAACTAAGGTGGCAGACCTATGGATCCTACTCTTGCTACCTTATCGTCGTACTGGTACAACACCTATGAGTGGGCCCGTTGTCCCACCAACCATTCTTTCTGGTTGAATATGTTTATATCGTGCATGACTGGTCCTTGATTACTGACTACCTGCGTATCTTGATAATAACACCTTATTGAGACTTTTTTTCTTCTTGGTATAAGCATCGAAATGACGCGGAGTACTGCGGTCAAGAAATATGGAAAACCGGCAAAACGGTCAAAAGCTGAACGTTTATTCGCCGAGCTACCACAAAGCCCAGTACGGCCCCAACAAGAACCAAACAGGAAAAAGGACTCTGTCTCTTTTATAACAAATAAAGTCTCGTCAATTCATCTCGATGAGAAACCAGCTACCAAGCCAAAGGCCAAATTGCCGAAAAAGACCATAGAGCCTGTCCCGGAGAAGATAAGCGAGGCTATCAACATCAAGAAGGACACAACCCTCAAGATCTCAGAGAACAGAGGCACTGCTGAGGCTAAAGAGCCAATTTCAGGTCTACCAGATGATGAGGATGACTCCGTCGATTTTCAAAGACTATTGGAGGCTCAGATAATCTCAGAGGCGGCCGCGCAGCAAACACAGCTCAGAACCCTCACGTGGGAGGATGTCTGTCCACCAGAAGATAGAATTGAGAAGATCGCTGAAGCATCTTACGCCGAGGTATATCGTGTTACCAATGAGCGTGGCACAAGTATAATAAAGGTCATTCGGCTCCCGTCGCCCATAAAGCCACAGACCAAAGCCCAGATTCGCTCTGGTTTGGTCGATGAAGAGCCTCATCCTGAAGAGGATGTACAGGGCGAGTTGCAAATCTCGGAATGGCTGGCAGATATTCCAGGTTTCGTTGTATACAAGGAGCGATATGTTGTTCAGGGTAAAACAACACGTCAGCTTCTCGAGACACATCAGTCGTTTCAAAAGAAGATGAAACGACAAGACCCGGACCGAGCACAGTTTTATCCTTCACCGAGTCGATATTTGGACGATACGCGTTTCTTGGTTGTTGAGCTGGGCGATGCTGGAACGTCGCTAGAAGACTGGAAATTGACGAGTGAGAGCCAACTATGGGATATATTTCTCTTGGAGGCTATTGCTTTAGCGAGAGCCGAGGACCTTGTGATGTTTGAGGTAATCCTTCCTGCAAAGCACACAACTTTGATTAAACCCACTAACTTTGAGTAGCATCGTGATCTTCACGAGGGTAACTTATGTATCCGGCAAGTCAAGCCACCTCGAGACATGGGTCCTCCTTCGGCGGGCTTCTTTGGATTCTCAGGCTTGGATATTACGATTTTGGACTACGGCCTGTCTCGTGGCGAAGATCTTTCCATTGAAAATGCGAAACCTGTGGCCTTTGATCTCGAAAGAGACCTCAGCCTGTTTACAAGTACTCATGCAGCACAATGCAAAGTTTATCGCCGAATGAGATCATTCCTTCTCCGTGCTGACCGTACATGTCTCCCTCCAGAAGTTCACAATACGCCCTACGCTTGGGGCATTGACGGACAACTCTCATGGGACGCATATGCTCCATACTCGAATGTGCTTTGGCTGGCATACCTCTACGAATATTTGACAAGTCACTTCAAGGGTGATAAGAAGGAGCTTGCAAGATTCAAGGATGAGACACGAGAGATGTGGAATTACCTGGATCCAGATGCCGGAGATGAGTTGCCCTGCTTCAGCTGTGCTGCAGACGTGGTATGCTTCGCAGTTGAGGCGGGGTGGGTTCGTCAGGAGCAACTAAATGGTGTTGATGAGTCACTGATTGAAAGAGAAGACAGCATTATCGGCGTGCGAGATGACATCAAGGACGTGAAGCAAGAGACCGCACCAGCCAGGAGGTCAACTCGAAGGCAATAGTTGAGGGAGCCATGTATGGGATAGATTGGACGATAGAATGGGCGGTGTTCTGAAGATTGATTTAGTGGAGTTCATAATACCAATGAGTTTTTTTTATTTAAACAATATCCATTTGCAGTGTGTCTTTGTCTTTACATTGAAAGCCAACCAAGCCAGTGTTTTTGCTAATATTCCATTAGATTGCCCTGGAAACCTGATCCTGCTGAACATGGTAAATATTCATCAAGACCAAGATACATTCTCGGGAGTGTACATTTATGATTGGCCGCGTGAGGTGCTCTTCCTCGCAAGATCTTGTTTACTTACATTGTGTTCGTTTGATCAAATTTTAGAAAGTTTGCAACTGTCTCAGATAATATTGTAATACCAAGGGGACGTGAGCGCACTGTGGTGCTGGGGAATCCAAAATGCCGATCACGTGACAGGATTTACTGACCATTATTGGATTGTATGATATTCACATAATAAGACTAATAAGAGTAGTAGTAATAATAATAATAAATAAGAGTAAATATTGAAAATGACTTACTGGTATCTAATCATGGTACATTTAACTCTGCTATAAGTCAGTGCCTTATATTTAATGTATCCTGCCGAGCCTGCTCAGGAGAGGCAAGACATCACTGGATCTTGATCCTATTAGTGACAAAAGACTCGGGAAAGTTGTCATAAGCCTAGGACGTTTTTATCATGATATCGTCTGTCAAGGTCTGAAGTCTTCCTGTTCCTTAATAAGACATACCTTAGTACTATGGTAGGTCATTGGATCAATGGGAAATGAAGACACCCGTTTAGACAACAACAACATACAAGCAGCGGAGTAGATGCCGAGCTTAGGTATTTAGCCTTTCAGAAAGTTCGGAGCGAATTACCCTTGAGTTGCATCATAGTCAATGATCAGATTCCGTGTGTTCACTAAGTTATTGAGAAAATCGATACGATTTATCATTGTTGTATCCAGGTAGGCAAGGAAGTCTTGCTTTGAATAATATTTGCTTATAATTCCTTACTTTATGTCTAATAATAAATGCCGAATGTTTGAGCTGTCAACCTCGGCCGTGCTTCAGCCGTTGTCGGCTCCTCTTGATCGGAACTGGGGGATGCGCTGGAAATGGAGTCTTGCCCCCCACCTGGAAGTCAAGAAGTAGGTACCCGTACCGAGGCTAAAATTACTGGATTGTTTTCCTACCGTTGACCTGGTTGGCTGATCAGCTTTCCCAGCTTCCCAATTGTTATGTTGCTCCTACAAACCACATGTCACGGCCTTCTTGACTGAATTCGGCCCTGACGCGTGAGTCCCGAAATTGGCCCTTTGCCTGCGTTCCTGAGTCCCCGTACCTCTCTTGTTATTCCGACGATGCTTAATTGAATCATGAATCTGGGGTGATTCAATACATTTGCCCTGTTTCTCCTTTTGTCTCACAGTCTTCCACCGAGCTCCGTTTCCGTCACATACCGCCTGTCCTCTATACGATCCCAACTTCAACTCTCTGCTACCTCCAAAGGACCATTACCGCCTTTTATGTGTAGATGATCCTAAGCCTCAGCAGCTTCCGTGCTAGCGATTCTGAGCCCATTGCTCTAAAACAACTGTCAGCATGTCTTTTAACAACCACGCCGCTTACAGTCCGACCGCGATGTCATCTTCAACTGGACCTTCTGGCCTGCCAAACAGCCTCCTATCGACATCTATATCCTCTCTAGCTTCTTCTACCTCCTCACGGCATCCTTCCCAGATTTCGAAGACCTATCGACAGGCTTCTACTTTATTCCTCACGCGTCGTTTGCCCGAAGCTCTGACAACACTACTCCCCTTGATTACTCCACCCGAACATGTTGACGACGGCGAACCTGCGCCAGTTGCTCGGGCATCAAGAACGACTCGCATTAAGGTCTGGAGCCTGTATCTTACCATCCTTAATGGTATTGTCGAGTTAGAGCCTGAGGAGGGTAAGGATGCTTTTGGAAACCAAGAATGGAGAGCCTTGTGTACCAAAGTTCGCGAAGGAGAAATATGGGACGAGGTAGTCACGAATGGTTACCATGGAGTGGAGGGCGATGTTGACTCCGACGTAGTCATTAATCTGTAAGTCGTTTGGAATGTGCCGAATTGAGACATGAACTGACTCGAGCAGCGCGACAATATTGTTGGCACATGCCCGTGACCAGAAGCTTAACCAGCACAAACTTGAGGCCTATCTGGCCGCCTCCAACACACCAAATCTTGATGTTGCCGGGCGGCTCGCTGAATCAACGAGCTCGCCTATGTCGAACCGATATCGGTCTCCTGCGAAGGGGGCGAGTGGCGCCAACACACCTAGAGACCTAAATGCTCGTGTGAAGATTCTGGAGTTATACACCCTCCATGTTCTCTTACGCAACAACGAATGGGATTATGCTCGTGAATTCATCAGCGTCAGCTCAGTCCTAGACGAAGAGCGCCGCGAAGCCTTCTTACAGGCATTGCAAAGCCTCCACGACGAACAGCAAGAACAGGAAAGACTTGAGAATGAGGAGCGCCAACGACAGGAGAATGAGCTGAAGAGAGAAATAGAGGAGGCGAAGAAGCTACGCGCCGAGAATGAAGAGAAGGAAAGAAAGCGGATAGAGGAGGAGCGTATGAAGCGCGAAGGGAGCGAGGTTGATTACGGGATTGACGATACAGCTAGCCATGCTGGGTCAACTCGACCTCGGAAGGCCAGAGCTCCATCATCTTCGTCGTCGAGGCAGTCAAGGCCTCGAGGGACGAATCAAGCAGGCCCCAAGGCAAATGGCAAAGCAGTCTCGCAGGCCCCAACTCTTACATCACGCGCTTCCATGGTTATCACACAACTGCGAACTATTATCGAACATTTGGGCTCCTCACTGAACTCGAACCCAATGTTCCTATTCAAATTTCTGGCGTTTGTTATGGGTTTGATTCTCATGTTGAGTAACACCAACATTCGGGAGAGAGTGAAGAGAATGATTGCGGTCTTTTGGTCCAAGGTCAAGGGCACAGCTGGAATGGGGGTGAAGGTCAGTTACATTTAATCAATTCTTTCCATTGTATTATTTTATCTATTAGTATCTCATGTGTTACGAGGAGTCCCTGGGTAGAACCTTTCTTTTTCAGCCATAGTGTATTTCTCAGGGGCGAGTTCTGGCAAATTTGAATAAGGAACAAGCTACGGAGTAGTCAATTGTAATTACTAGGTAGCTGCCGCTCAATCCAAAAAAAAAAACACACGCGTTTTCATATTCCCTTTTGCGCCTAAACACCTATGATGACAGATCTAAGTTGACCATAAATCAACCAAACACCATACTGCACGGCCAGCCTAGGCCACAACTCGGCTAGTATTGCGTTGTACGATTCGTTTTCTTTTGGTAGAATAACTGGGAGGATATTGTCAGCAACCTGCTGCCAAGCCAGAATTCAATCGTGCAGGGACTACTCACATCTGTTCTCGAACTGCCAAGGTTTATAATCTTAGGGCATCCGTCGCGATCCTTTTCAAGGCGTGTACATTCGAAACAGTAGAACGCGTCCGAGATGCCTTCACCACCGCACACAACGCACTTATTCTGATAGTTGCCGAAACTACATTCGTCACAGATGCGCACGAGCGTCGTGGGCCGAACGTAGGAGTCGCAAACTGGGCATTTGCCATCGCACTTGTCACAGAGACGACCGATGGCGATACCGGCCTGTTTGCGGCACATAACAAGATCGCTGCGCGACAGTCAGTTGAGCTGCTATCATAAAAAGACAGAACCAATGGTTACTTACGGATGATGGCGAGACATGGCTATGGCGATGTGGGGAAATAATGTATGAAATATTGTTATAAGACGCACGGTCAGGATTAGTGATATGTTGAGGAAGAGAGGAGGGCGTAAAATTCCGAGGCAATGTTGTAAAGTTCAAGATTGGAGATTTCTCAGCCTTGTGAAAGCGATTCTGAGAGCTTCGAGGGGCGACAGAGCCGCTAGCCAATCAAGACGGTGGGTCGCTGTAGCTCTTGCTGCTTCCCACGACATCACAATCCCCACCTTTCTCAGCCTTGACAAGGGACATCACCAGGCTTCAGCCTACGTTTCCTTTCCATCCTGTCTGATACTGCTGAATAGGCTGACTCTATGTCTAACTATACGCGAATAGCTAGGCTTTTATAACGATGATCAAAGATGGAAACCAGAAATGAGTGCTTTTGAACTGAAATCCTTCTTCTCTGTACCTTACTAACTTCACTCTAGGCTCCGTGCCTTGGATGATACCAAAGCAGACCACGAGCAACATAACGATACACTGTCTGAGTATGCACCGAAAAAAGACTCCATGAAAAGAAAGGCTTCAATAAACGCCGGCGAACTCTCCCCGAAACGAACGAAACATGACGAATATTTCCGCGAAGCACCAAGCGAACCACGGAAGAGGAACTCATCTACAAACCGCCACAATTCATATGGGGATTCTCCAGACATCGACATAGATCGCCGTAAAAACGCGACGCAAGAAGAGAAGAGACGCGGGAAGCGGCTATTCGGGGGTCTTCTCAGCACTCTGAGCCAGACAAGTGGCAGTGTGCAGCAGAAGCGCCGTTTGGAGATAGAACGCAGACAACAGGACCGGTTACAAAAGCAGAATATTGAGGAAGATAGGCTGCGTGAGGAGAAACGACTACGACTCACTGAGATTCGAAGAGGCCAACAACTGACGTTTGATGAGGAGGTTGTAAGTTGGCCCCTGGTTCACCAAATACTGCACTGTTGAGTTGACAAGATCGCATAGATGCACAGCAAGCATGCCAAAATGCTTGCGATGGCTCCGTACCTACGCACAAAATCAAGGCCGCATATCGTATGTTGACTAAAACACCTATCACTTCGAAATTGATATTGACACATCGAGTACTATCTCCCTTGGAAGCTCACAGCAGAACAAGAAGATACGATAGATGATCAGATCCGGCAAACGAAGGTCACAATAGAACACGAAGTTGGAAGTTTGAACGCTAGGAAAGGGCGACAGGCGAAAGGAGGAAGACAACCATTAGAGACAACAGCGCCGTCAAGGGAGGACTTAGATCACGACTCCGCCGACACGAATGAGCCCGAAAAATCGCCACATGGTCAAGAGAAGCCGGTTCAGGCGTCTAATCATGACCATCATCACGATGAGTCGGTAGATGTATTGGAGGAAGCTGAAGAAGATGTGGTGATTTACTGATTATTGTCACTGGAGTGGTTAATTTGGATGCAGTGCACGGACTGCTGTCTTGTTTTGAGTTGTTGACCTGGACGAGGAAGTCTTCTTCGGTTTTATTCTGCACAACTTCCCTGTTCGGAATCGCGACAGAATGTAGAGATCTCCTGTTCATGAAAGAAGGCGCTTTCTGTTGGATCTTTATTATCAAGCCCGATTGCTTTACTATTATTAATACAATTTGATACCCCATGGAAGTTGTGTCGGGGTTGTCTTCTTATTATTTTGCTATCTCGTTGTCTGCCTACTCGATCTCGGACTCGGACTCGGACAGACCGCTTCAGCGCCTCCGCCGTCAACCCACCATTGACCTACACTACGTTATGTAACATGCCGAGGACGAACGTATGCCTCGTTAGTTGGTGTAACGCAACAGCAACAGTGGGAAGATATGTATCTCTTAGCCGCGATTCGCAGTCCAATTATCCTAAATTAGGAAGTCCTCCCGTTCATGCCTCGGTTTACTCGGACTCCACCCTACAACACATTCAGAGCTGGCCAGGATCAAACTTGTGCTATATAGACTGACCTTGCGCCGTGCAGTCTCAAGTTAACAGAAATTCTCATATATTTGTGATTTCGGTCCCTACAGGTGACTGGTACTTTCTTTGTAAGAATTCAGCTGAACAAGGCACCTACGAGCCATTGACAACCCGAAAGTGAGTACCGTATTCCAGCATGATGTAATTCAACACCAGCTGGTTTCCCCACGCGGACAGGCAACTTTATTTAAACCTAAAGTTTCACAACATCCCATCATTAACAATCTCAACAGACCGCACAAAGAACACGGGACGGCAAGTTATTCAGTATGGCTCCTGATAAGCTTGTGCCAAACGACTCTCGGGTCAAGACCGAGACTGCCCAGATTCGGGGTAAAAACTACAAGTACATTGTTGGAGAGCCCGAGGGTACCCCGCTGGAGACAATAGTTCTCATTCATGGGTTTCCAGATCTTGGATTTGGCTGGCGCTATCAGGTTCCCTACCTCATGTCCCTGGGATTTCGGGTCATTGTCCCCGACATGGTGGGATATGGCGGTACTGATGCTCCAGAGTCACTTGAGGAGTACACATACAAGAGCCTTTCAGCTGACATTAACGAGTTGGCTCGAAAGTACGTCGGAGAGGATGGACAGATCATTCTTGGTGGACACGATTGGGGTGGTGCTATTGTATGGAAGGCCGCCTGCTGGTATCCTCAATTGATTAAGAGTGTCTTCAGTGTCTGCACACCCTACATGCAGCCCAAAGAGACGTTTGTCCCCCTCGAAGCTATCATTCAGAGTGGCCATCTGCTCAATTTTAGCTACCAGCTACAGTTCAAGGGCCCCGAGGTTCAATCGCGTCTCCAAGGAGAGGAAAAGATCCGGCAGTTCTTGAATGCCCTCTATGGCGGCCGAACGCCCAGTGGCGATCTTGGGTTCTCTGCCAAGGACGGTATCTACTTCGATAAGCTACCGGAACTCGGTCCCTCGCCACTTGTCAGTAAGGAAGAGTTGGACTACTACGCCAAAGAGTATGCCTCGAAAGAACCACCTGAGCTGCGTGGCCCTCTAAACTATTATCGCATGCAGGAGCTCAACCACCGCGACGATGCAGAGGTGGCCAAGAAGGGTGGCCACAAGTTTGAGATGCCAGCTTTGTTTATCACTGCAACTGACGATTCGGCTCTCCCGCCGTCTATGTCCAAGGGAATGGACTCGGCTTTTGCTAACTTAACTCGGGAGGAAGTCAAAGCGTCTCACTGGGCGCTATGGCAGGCTTCTGAGGCCGTGAACCAACATATCACGAAATGGCTTGATGGGGTGTTGGATGGTACCTTGAAGGCAAAGGCATCTCTATGAGCAGAGATCAGATATTCGGCCTCTGCTTCACATGATCTCAATAGGTTTAATGCGCACGCACTGAGTGACTTTCTGGACAATGAGTATACGCCATTCTTATGTGTCCGAACCTTAGCAATGGAAATGCATTTCACGGTTTTCCTTGCTTCTTTATATCTGTAATAATGCACAAGACACGGCGTCCAACTTGTGGTAACCTCACACAAAGAAGTTTTAAGTCTGTCGCTCCAAACTTTAGAGAGTCGGAGGCTTTTTGAAAGCTATTTGCTTGCCGGATGGGCTTCGCTGAAGTACAGAAGAATCCATAGAAGCAAGGCATGATATGACCAAGAACTATCCACGAAAACGTAAATATGACGAGGTCGATAACCTAAATTGATAATAAAATACCAAGAATTTCGCAATTTGATTCCCTTTAACTGTCAATGTATAGCTATGTAGCGTTCATTTTGGCATGGTGCATGCCAACTTTCCTGCTACTGGGGCTTCACTCTACTTTACTGGGTATCCAAGTAGATCGTTCATACCGGGATTATAGCGGTCAAAGCATTCCTCTTTGTCTTGATCCAAGTTTTAGCTCTGGTGATAATTCAATCCGTGGTAATAAGAAAAACCCATGAAGAAGCTAATCAATAATTGAGCTCAGATACCCTTTAAAGCTTAGCTTTAAGATGCCATCAGTTGGGTTCGTCTCCACCTTGCCAAGCTATTGGAAGGTAAGCTCTCCGCATCACCCACATCGCCTATTTCTTTGCCTCCTTAAGCCGTGGCCTCTTGCTAACTTCGCTTCGCTTCTTCCCCTCCTCAGCCACGACCTCTTAATCCCCTTGTCCAAGACTCGAAAATGGCATCTTTCTTGAAGAACGCCTTTGGAGGTGCAAAGGCCCCCGAGCCTGCGAATCCAGATCCCGGTTAGTATCACCAAATACTCCAAGTATTTGACAATTGCGCAATATTGCGACACGCAAAGAGTGCAATTGAATGTCATGACTGACACGCGACATCCTCCTCTAGATTTTGCAGACTTCGCTGAGGCTCCCAATCCAGTTCCTGAGGCCGCTACCCAGGATGCGACAACTGGGAGTGCTGCTGCTGCTGCTGCTGCTACGGCCGTTCCATACACCAAGTGGTACAATGTCCACGAGCGTCACTCCCTCTCCGAGTTCAGGCTTGAGGGCATCATTCTCCTCATCTCGAGTTTCATCTTCTTCCTTCATATGATTGGCGCTCGTCGCAATCGCTCCAGGGCCAAGGCTTGGATTCGCGCTCACGCACCCGTTCTCCAGAAGGAGTATGCTCTTGTTGGCTTTGGTGGTGTACCCACCTTGGATAACGAAGATGTCAACCCCGATACACTCATTAAGGAGAAGTCCCTCTTTGAATTTGCAACGTACGCTACTGGTCGACAGAACACGGCTTTCACCGACTTCAAGCTCACTCTGACCAAGAAATTCAACCCAATTGTCAACGGTTTCGAGCATGTCGCAAGCTTTTTCGTCGAGACTGTTGATGCGCCTAAGGATGCCGTTGAGGTTCTGACCTACCCCTTTGATGGCAAGGAGAGTCTTACAGTCCCCTCTGCTCCTGGTGCTTCTGAAATCCGTGCCAAGGATGCTAAGAGCACCTTCGACGGTTTTGTTTGGGGCGTTGTGCACAAAGACGTCATGCGTCGCGTCCGCGACGACCGATATGATGTGTCTCTCACCTTCACCAAAGATAACCCTAAGCTTCCCGCTTGGCTCACTGTCATGAGCGAGAGCGCCGAGATCACTGATACGCTCCTGACTCCTGAGCTCATTGCCGCTGTTCAGGCCGCTGGCGACCTGTTCGAGTACATAATTATCTCCGATCAGCCTGTTGATAAGCCTGCTACCCTTGAGGAGACGACTCCCCGCAAACGACTCTTCCTGAAGTACGCCCTCCCTTCCAATGGCAATTACGATAATCTTCTCCCTCTCTTCTCGCACTTTATCCAGCTTCCCGATGTTCTTGTCAAGGTTGCCCATTTCCGTCCTGAGGTTTCCAAGAAGATCCGCAGCACCCGCGAGCATGCCATCAGTGAGCTTAAGAAGACCGCTGAGAGCCAACGTCAAGAGGAACTTCTTCTTGAGAAGGAAAAGGCCCGCAAGGCTAAGCGCGATGCCGAGCTCAAGGGTCTTGATGCCAAGGCACAAAAGCGATACCTCGAGAAGGAGAGAGAGAAGGAGATGCGCAGGTCTCAGAAGCGACAGACACAGCGTGCCTAGAGCAGTCATTTCCTTGTATAACTGGGCTGGTTCAAAGAGCCGACAGTGAAAAGATGCATATTAATGGCGGTTTCGTGTACGGGTACGGAATTTGTAACAGTAGTTTATTTATCAGCCTAATCTATGATGGTGCTTGCCTCGTCGCCATAAACATTTCCTTCTTTTTTTCTCCTCCTACCTAGTCATTAGGCTTTGGGTGCTGTTGGATACAGAGGTACCCTGTCGGATTTGAACGATGTTCAATGGTATCGGTGCAAAGAACTAGAGTATTCACTTTGGTATGTGAAAACGTGCATTGACTTTTCGCCAGGTTGATGTCCTTCTTCCTGGCATGTGCTAATGCAGACTGTCGTTCACCATCGTTGAGTTTGACGTTCTGAGTCAAAGACCTCTCGTGGCAATTGCTTGTAAGTACTCGAGGCAATTGAGAAATATAACGAGTTCTAGATCAAAACCAGTGGTATTGGTTAAGCAAGAAAGAAAGAAAAATACGATTGTGTTTCCTCATACTTTCCAAGCCGTGGCGTTCTGTGTGTTTGATATTGCAATATTCGTTCTCTTGAAACCGACTTCGCAGGACAAGACAGCTGATGAGGTCATGGCGCCTGAAGAGTGAGGCAATGGCCTTATGTTTCATAATGTCCAACAGAGCCAAGATTGCTTCAGCAATGCGAGCAGCGAGCAAACACCGGAAGTTATGCTGTACCTCAACCCAGCACTCCTATTATCATACAGGCCCTCCGCAGAATGTTGTTCCGTAGCATAGCTATGCTGGCACTGGGTACGTGGGTTGGGCAAGTCTGATACTCTGATGGTATGCTTTCTCGGCATCTCAGCCGAACAGCCACAGCTATGGAACATCCCGCAACCATTTGTGATACATCCTTCATTCTCCTTCAAGAACGTGAAGTAATCAACTTAAAAGAGGTATGCGTGGAATTTCATGGGCCCATCCACATGCCCCCGTTAGCTGTGCCAGCCATACTGTCAGGACTAGGACCGAAACCGTATCCAAAGAGCGTAGAAAACTCGTCCATAACCTGAGGTACCGATGGAAAAGTGGTATCCATTCCCACAAAAGGGCTCGGAGCCTGCATCGTTGGCATACCAGGTCGAGCAGTCGTACCTGTGCTTCCTCTCCAAAATGCATTTGTATTTTGAGGTAGCGGCAAGGAAGTCTCGGGTGATTCTTCTTGCCTGAAATCCTGAAGAGGCACGTCATTCTTCCAAAGCAATTCCCATTTCTTGAACCGCGAGTAGTCAGTTTCTCGGCCGGAGGGATCACCCGTGGCATCAAGTCGTGAGATAGCACGTTCAAAAACTTCGATCAGGGATGCTTCAGAACGGGCCGACTCTCCACCTGCTGACATCTCCTTGATCATAGCCATACCAGTACGCAGAGCGTCACGTAGCCTATCCGTTTTCTTTTGCAGGCACTGAGTGATGATGACCAGGAGAGCGGCACGACAGGAACTGAATTCCGTGTATGATGCCCGTGCAAGACCAATCGTGCTTTGAAGAAGATGGCATGTGTCGATTATGGTCAATGCAGCCTCCACACAATCCGCAACCAGGATCGACCGAGGATTGGACTTATGAGGAGTGTTGGGTCTTTGGTTATTTGAATCAGCGGGTGAACTCGACGTGCTCGCGTTACCACGCACGACTTCGCGAGGTAAGATGAAGGGCCGCCCAGCGTACATTCGCAGCAGGCAATACTCTAGTTTGAGATGCGTATCTGCACGTGTAATAGGGTTTTGAGGATTAACTTCTTCGTGAAACGCGGTTTCGGGCAGTGCGTCCCACCACCTTCGAAGTTCCTCCTTCATATCGATGACCCGTTGCAAACCTTCATTCATCTCGTGTTTCTGTGCGGTTCGAAGAACAGAGCTGCCAATGATGATTAGCTTCTTGAGAATACGGCTCAGAATAGTGCAAGTGCATACATCTCATGCGCAATCTTACCAAGCGCCTGATTCAGACGTAACGTTGCAAGCATGTGCGCAACATTTGTAGGGCTTGATGGCATAATGTCTGGTCGATCAGTGGGCATCTCTGCGTCGACATCTTTACTTAGAATAGATAAAGGCCGCCCGTGGTAGATACCAACCCGTCTGCAGCGGTTAGTTTCCAGGAATTCAAAGACACAGTCAGTAAAACATACTTCTCTGTCGTATAGGCTGTCCACCATACGCGGTTCCGGGTTTCACGAACGTAAGGATCAAGTCCACCAGCAGGCCACTTCCTATGCATGCCATTCTGGATGGCGAGCTTTACCGCGAGATTAAGGTAAATGTACGATAACCCTGAGGCGTCAAGTGGCAGGGTATAGATGCCGATGAGAAGAATGGCCTGGACACTCTCCAGTGATGCAACAGTAATGACATCGGGAACGAGCTTGCAGGCTTGTTGATAGAACATAACACCTATTGTATCCTCAGAGAAAGGGCTTGAATCGTTTGACTTGCCATGAGCATCTCTTCCCGAGATCGAATCAAGATATGCGTACTGAGTTCCAATCGCAAAGATGATCCAAATCATGCAAAGCGTCCCCACTTCACGACGGGATAAAGCCCCGGGGTTTTGGTAAATTAGGTCGATCTGTTCGGCGAGCCATCCACGTTCAACATAGAAGTAGTTGGTCTCGGCATGCTTATAGAAAGCCTGGACCAGGAACTCGGCGACATATCGAGGAGGCAGTGCAGAAAGTGATGCCTGCGTGTTATTCGCTGACTGGAGCTCCTCGGCTCGATAATACTCTTTGAAACTGAGGGGGCCTGGTGCATCCTAGCGAAGGTCTAAGTCATTCGTTCTTACAAAGCAAGGCTGGAGCAACATACATGGCGCTCTGGTACGCATTGTTCGATCCATTGTTTGATTCTCATTGAGAAATTCCAGTGAGAGAACTCGCCTGAGTAGTCTATGGGCGATATTGGTTAGTTACTTGTGAATGTTGAATACCAGTAGTCTGTCTTACGAGTAGTGTTATTATCCAGTGGCTGGACAGTATAGTTCTCATCTTCTGCCCCCAAAAAGTCGGAGCCTGGAGAATCCATAATCGGAGCTTGTCGTTTAACTTGATGAGCGTCGAAATTCTTGTTGTCGATGGACTCGGCCATAGCCTTCAATGATTCTGTATCAAGAGAGACACTTCCAGCATAGTGGGTGATAATCTTCTCCATGTAAGAAGCGCGCTGAAGGAGCTCAGCGTTCCCTGGGCCGGAGCGGTTCCTAAGCTCATATGCGTCAGCAAGCTTGAAAACGTTGAACGGCATGCGGCGATGCTATTGCGAATTACCTCGATGCGCCATCACCTCCTTCGGCATCTCTGGCAGTCGGACCTAGGAACTCGCATTGTCGATGCAGGCGCGTACATCTTCGGCATGGTACACCACCGTCGCATTTCTCCTTCTGTCGTCGGCAGCCGTCGCAGCTACAGAACACGATCAATCAGCATTTGGAAACCAGAACAGTCAATGAGGGCAAAAGATAAGCGGGAGGCAAGTGATTCACAGGTGGTGACATCCGGAATCTGATGGCAAGGACAGGGTCTGGAAACAGATACTCCGGTCTGTCTGCGCCGGAGACGACGCACAGTGGCGGAGTGAATCAAAGGTTTAGTGGACGTACGCTCGGAGTGCTCGCTTGCGTTCTCTCTCGGCTTCCCGGCGCTGCCGACTCTTCTGCACAGTCTGTTGTTGCTTGTCCATCTCCCGTTCTTCGGATTGCGCGAGTCTGCGCGGGGCCGGTTTGCGGCGGCGGAGCGGATGGACTCCTGCTCCTGGGACCTCAAGCAGCGGGAAGCCCGTAGACCCCAGCAAAATGCTTGGGAGGCCGTGAGGTGCGGCGAAGCAATTGTGTTAAGTAACTTGCTTAGTTCAAGGGGTCGGTAATAGTTTGGGGGTAGGATTGATGGTTCAAATTGGCGGATCGAACTTGAAGTGGTTTTATGGCCCACGTACAGGTAGATCGAGGCTTGAAAAGCGACTTAGTGGCTCCATCCAGGACCCTGTTGGTGGATGCACAGAAATGGTAGCGACTAGGTAGGTGTCAACAGCCAGTCTTCCAGGAGGACCTATTGCAGGCTACAGCGATGCAAGCAAGAGTTTGTTTTGAGCTTCGGCAGTTTAGGGTGAGGTACCTATCGTGTCTTTCGCTTGCTGCGATTCGAGAAACCACGCGCCTGAGAGGTTTTTTGTAGTTGAACTTCTTAAGGCAACGCCATGCTAATTGCTGAACAAACAAGGTGGAAGCTCAAAGTCAAGCAGAAGAGAGGAACAGAAGAGTTCAAGTAAGGTAAGACGCGGGGAGCTAGCGTCTATTTTAGTGCAGTTGGCGGAACCGCATAATGTAATTCGCTTGCCCACGCTTTTGAGTCTGAGACGATAGTACCTACCTAACGTTAGGAGACAGAAGCAGAATAGGCCAAGTACTAGCTACTAAGTAAATACCTTAAGCTTACAATTAGACGATTTATTTACGACGCAATGATACAAGGGCATTAGCCCAATAACTCAGCAACCTGCACGACAGACTCTAGATGAAAGAAGAGGGAAACTACCTATACACGCACAGTCACCCTGGCTTGACGCTCTGTGTCGCTGTAGCTCCACGATAGCTGACGAGACAAGCTGGTTGGCGCGCAACGCCAATTGATTACAGTGAGTGAAGAGGCATCAACTTTGCTTTTTCTTTTACACAACACGCACGCACCATAGTACGCACAAGAAGGTCTCGGCCAGCTCCTTAGCAGCTTAGTAGGTACTCCTCGGGGGGAAATAAAAAACGACCCCTCGATGGGTGCAACGCCAGCGAATTTTGGTGCATTGGGGGTCGTTTATTATTTCCCCCCCTAGGTACTTTGTTGTGCATTATGCCGTTGGCGGTCGATCCCGATCCATTGTAGTATCAGAGTGGCATTGTCGACCGACAGGTACCTCTTCGTGAAAGGGATAAATCATATGGCGGCTTCCATCTTTGTTCAGCACGTTAGTATCAAC